GAAGGAAGAACGTGAGAACCCAACGCTTCCAAGATTGTGTCAATCAAAGAATCGATTGCATAGGATCGATATCAGCTGATTCAGATGTGGCACTGGAATCGGCTCTCTTCGAATGGCATCAGCAGATAACGACAATGAGCTACGGTTGGCATCGGGAAATACATGTCGGACTCTATAGAAGGGAAAGATTAGAGTCTAAGTTATCTTAAATTAGAAATGTTTTCTTGTATACCAAAAGATTGTAACAAGTCGTACTTAAGTAGGATTCATGCTTAGGCTCCGGGTATAAATATTGGACCCCGGCTATTGTAAAGGACATCCAATCAATCAATACAAGTTACTTTTTTTGGCTTTACGCCAACCCTTAGGAGTAGGAGTAGTGTAGATCTCGGTGAGTTCTTCAACAAGCAGGGCTGCATCGGTCCGGCCGACCTCCGGCTTGTCTGTAAGTACCGTCATGGCTTATACTTCTGTTTGTACGGCTGCATCGGTTAAATTCAACCTCCACTGCGAGCTCTAGTATAAGCTAGTTAACGACTCTTATCTAGTTCAAATATAGCTGCATCGGTCCGGCCGACCTCCACTACTTAAATTAGATCAAGGTCAAGTTATCGGCTCTACCTAAGGGTGGCGTCCTTCGGGTAGATTCATTAAGTTACCGATCTTGCTGATGTTCTCATTATCATTAGTTTCAGGAACATCAACCTGCCCGGTCGAGATCGATCTAGATCGGCCTTACATCCTTTTAGTCCATCGTTTATTTTTGCTATATTGCGATAATCTTTATTCCAATTGATGGACCATGTTTTATCGGTTGTTCTACTTCGATCTTGATCGTGCATAGTATGCATTCAAAGACATGTTTCGATCTTGGATAAATTCACTGGTTAATGAGATCTAATCTAATGACACCACCATAGCTACATCGATCCGGTCGAACCTCACTGGTAAGACTTTAGATTAGAAATCATCAAGTAGTGGTTTTGTTTGTGATCGAGACATGTACTCTGCTTGTTTGCTATGCCCGCATCGGCTAAATAGCCAATTGTCTGCGCCTTAACGTCTATAGTGTGTTTTCGTGATTTTGTTAAATGTGGATAGATCCGTTTACTTTAAAGATTTGATTTGTTGTCTTTATCACAGCTATATCGATCCGGTTGAACCCCACTGTTCATAGATCTATCCATGTTAAATAGTCGATTGTTCACATGCTATAGTCCCTTTTCAACTGAATCGGTTGTTTTATCCGATTTCGTTTGTGCTTTTACGTATATAGCATGTCTTTCACAAAGTCTGTCCATGTGTAGACGATTTTACGAATTCTTCGATTTTAGTTTGTTATTATCATCATAGCTATCATCAATCCGGTTGAACATCACTATTGATGGTAACAGATTAGATTCAGAGCGTTTTGTAGATCTGTTTGTACTGGATAGTCGATTTGTTCGTATGTTATATCCTTTCTCATCAGATTCATCGGCTCAATGTTTTATACTGATAATATCCACCTAGCTAATGATTTCATTTATATCTGTGTGCATTGTACCTGTCAGCATAAAATTAATCATGACCCACAAGCTTTACAATCCGTAACAACCGATTTCTTCGCGTATCGGCTATTTAGTCAATTTTTCCGTCTGGCTGCTCTCAAAGCGGCACACTTGAAACTGTCTAGGTAAGACCGGCATGTTCCACCTTAAATTACTGATAAACTTTCTCTCCTTGTCAATTGCAGGTCAAATTGACTGGCACGTCTTGGGAGGAATACGCAGGGTCGACGGGTCCTGCGTTGAAGTCAAGCGGATCTCCGGGTTCATCCTAAGCAGATCCTTCCGGCTTGCTGTGTGTCTCGGCGCATCGATACGTTTTTGCGCCGACAGTTTGCAAGAGAGTTCTGGTACCGGCTCTTCTCACAGTTTGGGGTCCAAACCTTCGCCCCGCAGCCCAAAGAAACACTCCCTCATTATCCTACAAGCCTAGACTTTATGGACACACCGCAACATGTGCGTTTTTTATGGTCTAGCTGCAAATATTGCAAGCACACTGGTTGCAGCCGAAGATGAGGGAAAGGCTTGGTCGTTGGCAGGGGCTCAAGGTTTATCCCTCTTAGCTGCCATTGCTCCGGGTGGTTGGCGCCCTAGATTATGGTGTTTCGTAGGCGCGAGTGTTCCTAAGGGCAGGAGCAGAGTGTCTCTGTGTGTGGGTGGGTGGTTTTTGAGTTTTTTTGTGTTATATGGGCACCTGTCCCTTTTTTCGTCTTCTTAATATAATGATGCACAGCTCTCCTGTGTTTTCGAGAAAAAAGAGGATTAGGAATGTTGAATTTGGAGATTCGAAATAGATGTATTTTGAGCAAATGGTTTTTTAAGTTGTAATGTGAGAATGGCCTATGCCAAGACTTACTTAAAAGGAAGTACTTGTATAATAAGACCATTACTCAGGTCACTAGAAGGCCTATAGCCTCACAGTTTTGGTCGATTTTTATGTAGGTAAAGGATCAATTCTTGTCTTTTAGTGCCTTTAAGGTTAAAAATGGGAGACAAGTTAGATTTTGGGAGGATCATTGAATTGGTGACAAACCATTAATGATGGTTTATCCTATGTTGTGTAGAATTGTTCGGAAGAAATTTGTTACAGTGGCTAGTGTGCTAAGTTCTATCCCTCTTAATATTTATTTTCAGAGAACTTTAGTAGGTGACAAACTAGTGGAACAGTTTGGACTAGATTCAATGGTAGCTGCTATTGTTTTGATTGATCAGGATGAAATCTGTAAGTGGATTTGCATAAGGATATAGAAACCTCAAGGTTCGCTCGATGTATTGCTTTGATTCAAGAAAATACTCTACAAAAAGAAAGTGATCTTTGGAAACTTCTTTTAATGTTCTAAAAGCGGGATGATTCTAATGAACAAAAATTATCCAAAAGACATTAGAAGGGTAGCCCCAAGTTTTGCTTTTGTAATGCTAGACAATTCAATACCTATCTTTTCTATTGTCATATGGCCTGGTTCATTTCAAATACCACTTTTTTTATCTTCGGCATTCAACCTTCTCCTACAAGGATCTATTCAACTGCCCGCCACCAGGATCTATTCCGCACTAGCTAAGATTGGAGTGCTGGACCGCAGATCCGGCCATCTACACCCCCATGCGGAGACAACTGGGATGACGGAGTTGGCTGAGGCATAGTCATGCATAGAGGACACTACCCACACGCGTTGAGACAGAGTCTCACATCGTGGAAGCGGCTCCAGATGTCAAGAGACCCGTCTCTGTTAATAAGATTTTTAGGGGCGGCCTGTCTCCTTTTAAATAGAATGACCATCTCTAAAAATTACTGGTTATTTTAGGAGACCGTTTTATTTTTTGCCTGCCTCTGTTAATCAGGACATCTATCTCCTAAAATATGTTTTGTGGTAGTGGTGGTGATGAGCAATGTGTAGTGGTGGAGGCTGGGCTGCAGAAAACTAGAGACTACCGTTACAGACCTTTTCTATAGATTTGACAGGGGTCGACCCTTCATCTCTCCTTTTCCTCTTTGGAAGCGTCATCTTGTGTTGTAGCTCAAATGTCTTGTGTCGTAGCTTAAATGCTATTTGGATCTGTTTCGAATGGCTGTATATACACACTTAATTTGTAAGTGCAGATGCCGGAACGTTGTTTTCCTTTATCTAAAAAAATAAGTACATCAAGGCACATTTCTGCGGTAGTGCGGCTAGGCAGTATTTGGCTGATAAACCATGGCTGAAAGTACCGTTGGCTGATTTGTTGTGAGAGAAAATAATGTTCATTGGCTGAAAAAGTACGGCTTATAAGCCAAGCGAACGTGACGATAGTGTGGCTTCGCTTGTTTCCTGTTACGTAGATTTGAAAGCTCTTTGGTGGATATTTGCAATGATGAACCCTAGTCTCTTTGGAATATTTGCAAAATGGTCAACCATGCTAGAAGAGAAGTTAATAAAAGGCTCGGCCATGCTAATTCCCAACTACTCTCTCTCCGTTCCAAATTATAATTCGCTTTGACTTTTTTGGTAAATCGGATTTCCTACGTATCTAGACCAGATATGTAGGAAATCTGATACACCAAAAAGTCAAAGCAACTTACAATTTGGAATAGGTGTTTTCTAAACTTATCTGTTGGCATGACTCCTTATTCATTACTGGTCATTGTCTCCCAAACACAGCCTGGATTCATGCATAAGTGAGCTAAAAGTGGACTAAAAGACAAGATCATATAGTAGAGTGGAGGCAAAGACAAACAACCAGCTTATTTATTCAGTGAGCTAAATAGTAGAACCAAAGGTTGCAATCGTGGTGGAGTATAAGTTAATTAGTGCGGATTTGGTGAGCACATGGTGCATATAAACATACATTTTAAAATTTTAAATCATAAATAAACCATGAGCATACATATACCATGATCACTTGAAAGATTCATGTTCAAACTAAATTCAAATCCATCTACAAAGCTGCTGCAACAGGAAATTCCAAGGTCACACTACGCTCAGCCAACTTTTACAATGAATAAATATCGATTTTAAAAAATAGCTGATTTGTATGTTTTGCCTTTGACTTAACACACTGCCATATATATACCTCCTTTAACATCACTTCAATCGCTAATAAGTACACCATTCATTCGGTTGGTGGAAAATACAACTTGCAGTAGTGAATGAAATGAATTGTGCTAACAAAATAAATAAGTAAATAATTGAGTTGGATAGGTTTTTTTTCATTGACTGGCGCATTTTGAGTCTGATATTATATTCTTCCAAAAGAATTTCCATTACATATTTGATATTTCCATGGAGGTCATTCCTTCTATATATGTACATGTAATGACCATTCATTATTCTTTGGTTCAGACCCTCGCCACAGTCGCCCTATATATATGTGCCGAATCACAAGGCCCAATGCCAATCCAACAAAGGAGCTATCAAGCCTTGTCTACTCGTCCAGACGTCCACAAACCCATCAGCATCATTTCCAGTATCAACAGCCATGGTTAGCGCATTGCTTCTGGTGTTTATCGTTGCCCTCGCCGCCGGTCATGGCGCCGCCTTCGACCCCAACCCTCTCCAAGACTTCTGCGTCGCCGACTCTACATCCAAAGGTTTGATCGATCCATCCATCAATCCCATGTTTCAGCACTCATTACTTGTTAACCTTCGACCAGTAACTAATGACGACGACTGAATGTCTGCACTGCACGCATACGCAGTGCGCGTGAACGGGGTCCCGTGCAAGGACCCGGCGACTGTGACCCCGGACGACTTCTTCTTCGCCGGAGTCGACCACCCGGGCGGCACGGCGAGCCGTCGGTACGGTTTCACAGCGCTGCCCGTGCAGATCCCGGGTCTGAACACGCTGGGGGCGTCGCACGCGCGCGTCGACGTCGCGCCGGGGGCCGTGTTCCCGCCGCACTACCACCCGCGGGCGTCGGAGACGGCCGTGGTGCTGGACGGCACCGTCTACTTCGGCTTCGTCACGTCCTACCCGGACAACAAGCTCTACGCCAAGGTGCTGCGCAGGGGCGACGTCTTCGCCGTGCCGCAGGGCCTCGTCCACTTCCTCTACAACAACGGCACCGCGCCGGCCGCGCTGTACGCCACGCTCAGCAGCCAGAACCCCGGCCTGGTGCTGCTCGGCGACGCGCTCTTTGGCTCTGGCCTCGCTGACGACCTCCTAGCCAAGACGTTCCTCACCGACCGGGAGACGGTCGACAAGATAGGACTCAAGTTCCGGTCGTAGAACGCCGGCTGCCGGCGGATATAAGTTTCGTTCTCTATTTTTTATCCATGCCATTTGCAATAAACATGCGCACGAATTACTCCGACAGTTTACCAGCAGAAATAGTCAAACAAAAGTCTTGTCCATGCCATTTTTTAAATTCGTTTAAAGGGCAAAGACTTAAAAACAAACATAAAAGAAGTACCTAAGCCCAATTTATAATTTTGCCAATGAATCGATCGAACTACCAAAAAAATGTTCAGAACTTATATCAGGAGCACTGCCCATCCATATTTTCAGCAGCCACGTTTTCATTTGAGAGCATCCAAACATCATCAAATCTATAACCACCGAGCTTCAAGATACTATAAAGTTTTCAAAACTATAAAGTTTGTTCCATCCAAACACTTCATGATGCTCCAGAACCAAAGTATTTTACAAAAACCATAGTATTCTTATAAAACTCTAAATTGCATCCAAACAGGACCTTATATTCAAAATCAAATAAAGTGAGAGGGCATCACAGGTCTACATATCAAATTACAGACATGCTTAAGTTTCGCTCGTTATAGCTACCAAAATGTTATATAACATCATCACCAGGTAGAAGTAGAATGTGTGTGGTGTGAGTGTGTTCTAAGAGTTTCTTTTCTTAATATTAAAGATTATGAGAAAAGAAGAAGTACAAATGCAGAAAGCGGGACAATAATTAGCCATTACATTTACATGTAGAACGTCAGCAGACTTAGACTTATATACAGATACAATGGTGACATGAGGTTATCCACCATACACGTGATGGAAAAATGAAACACCAAAAAGGGTCTACAGAAGGTTATTTTGTCTTCTCAGTCCGGTTCATCACATCATGGTAATACAATAGAACGCACATTGGCTGCCCGTATATGCAGAAAAAGAACCAAAAGATCATATTGCCAACCTATTGAATATACCACAAATTAGACAGGTCCCCATAAAAAAGACAATCCTAACTTATCAACTAAGGATTTCCTCAAAAAATAACAACTAAGGAAAATATGGCTCACCATTGTGTCATTGAACTTATTTTTGAGGTATGATGTCAATATGATGAGGGGAATCTGGTAAAAAGAGGAAAAGAAACATGGTGTCAGAACAGTTTTTTGTTTAGGAGACCACATGGATACAAGGAGCCATATTAGATGACTGATGTCTTCTGGTGGTCATAAGACCCCAGACTATATAGCAAATGAAAAAAAGAACTAGTAAAGAAAAAAAAGAAATGAGTAAAGAAGAAAACAAATTTTGGATACTGATCCATACGGCGTCTTGGGTTGTATTAGATTACCTGAAGCATGATTCCTAAGAAAGCCCAGAACTTGAGTATGTGGCAGGGAACAGCAACACATAACTGGTGTACAATTGTAAAGAAAATGTGTCATAATTTTCTCCAAAGAGACTGGATTATGAAATATAGAATTTTATATAGAGCACTTCATCCAAGTAATCTACAGCTGGTAAGTTTGAACAAAAGCATGTCGAAACTCGAAAGGACACATTTAAAAATAAAGAAGTATATAACTAATATATGCATATGAAGAGCGAAAAGGTAAATGAGTAAGTTACCTCATGAAGTACAGCAGAAACAAAGAACGCTATAAAAGCAGCAACTTCCTGCAACAACACAAATGACTCTTTGAACAGTAATAACAACAGCACAAAAGATTGGACTTAACAGAGTACAGCACCTCCAGTATAGGAGCTAGATTGGAGGACAGTAGATCCATACAAAATTAAGCACATTCTTATTGTTCAATAAACTCAAATGATACTTTTACTGTTGGAATTACACATTTATGAGTACATGAACTTCAGTTTCACTGATGAACTAATTTGATTGTCCTAAACAGCATGGAGTAATTCTTATAGTTACTTTGAAAAAATTAGGAATTACAAAGCAAGCACTGACTGGTGAAGGGATCTACAAGGCACAAACTGTAATGAAGCTACAGTTTAGTCTGATATGCACTGGAAGCAACCCTGAGCAGAACATCTGCACAAATATTATTTTACCTTTGATATACCATTTCGCATGCAAGGAAAATAAATATGACGAACCATCCATTTATGCACAGGCTGTCAAAATGTGGACATTATTAGTCATAATATTTCAGCAAACGAAATTAATATAAAATTGATGGACCGACAAAGGTCATTGGAGAAGAATAAATCCATAAATTCATGGTATTATTCAATCTACTTGGAACATACAAATTAGAATAGTTCTGTGTACCAAAAGAGTCCAGATTTCATTGTTCTCAACAATTTTACAGTGACTTGCCATTTTTATTATGCAGTTGCTTTAAGATGATTACATCTAACCACAACTGTGTATACCATGTCTGGCAGTACATTCTTGATAGAATTATTATTGCAAAGAAAGAAAAGGCATACCATGTTCCATTTTCTCCAGTACTGATCCCATCCAAGTACAGCAGCACAAGCAACAACAGTAAACAACACACACAACATCAGCTATTGTTACCTAGATTCCTTTTTACTTGAAAAATAAAGTAATACTAGGTTGCAACAAACACGATAGTATTTCACCTCATCAATTGTTTTTGCATTCCACCAGTCTTTATAGAATTCACGGTCACCAAATCGAAGAGTCTCAGCAAGTATGTTTAACCTGTATAGATGATTAAGTTCGAAACGGCAAACATGCATATTTGAAAGAGCCGAAAAGGAAATAATTTTCTCCCAGAGCATGGAAGTTGTGAGAAGACACATAGATGACTGATGTTAGAATAATATCAGGATTGATCATCTATTTGAATTTGAATGAATAGATAGAAAATATAATTTACCATAGATGGAAAAGGCAATAGAACATGCAAAGCCACAGGTAGACATTTGGTAATGAGAGCTTCAAAACAGTCTCTACAGCATTCAGTAATCCTCCCTTCAATGGATGTTGAGAGTTCACAACAATAGGATTTATGTACTGCAAGATTGTAAAATCAATAAAAGGTTAAGACATGTATGAGGATATTTTACAAGATATATGGAGATATATAAACAGCTTACTTGCTCAATAATGAATCCTTGGAGACCAGTAAATATCAAGTATAGAATAACTTGACGAACCAGCCAACCTTTTCTAACATAAGGTGTTCTAGGATAACCTGGCTGCATGCAAAACGAAAGTAGTACATTTCTAAAATATTACACCTTGCCAGCACCCTTTCTGCTGGTAACCAGAAATGGGCAGTCAAAAGGCAATAAAGAAATCATATATCTGCTTTAGATCAACATACATGATCAGAAAATTACCTGATAACAGAGTGTCGGAGCCAACATGAAGTATGTTAGACTCCCAAGAGTTGGAGCTTGTAAATTATCTATGTCAGACGTGGTCAGTTCATTATCAACCTAATAAAAAGGGTGTATTAACTTACAACAGTTAAATACATATAAAAAGAACATAAGCGGTAGTAATTGAGGTGATCATGCATCGGACCAGGTTGGACCAAGAAACTCTCAACTCCTTACCTGAAGCCCAAAATATTAGTATTTTTTATATTTTCTTAAAAAAGTATTAACACAAATAGGATATATTATATTTTTAGTAACAATAGTTTTAAGCATAACATATACAGATACCTGCATATTTTTGCATTTCATTTAAGAACCCACGACCAAGCTAAGCCCAGCACCTTGGGCCAGAGAAGGCTGGACTACTATGAACATCTTTAAAAGTAACAAAGTACAAGGGAGTCGGGAGAGGGAGGAAACCCCAGTGATGAGAAGCAGCAGGTCCAGCAACATATCAATGTTCATTGTAAATGTTTTTTATGTTAAAATCCCTTTGGTGCATTAAGTGTCACAACTCCTAAAGAATTCTGAGAGAGTAGCAGAAGAATCACTAGAGTAGGTTAAAATATTTGCTAAGTGCTTGTTCAATTAAATCCGTGACTAGGGGTTCATGTTGGGTTTCAACTCTAGCCTACCCCAACTTGCTTGGGACTAAAAAGCTTTGTTGTTGTTGTTGTTGCTGCTGCTGCTTGTTCAATTAAATCAAATTCTCATGGATAATTACTCAGATGTGTTTTAACTCCGCCTATGTTGTCTCAACATAGCAGGTCCCAAGCCCTGATAAAGGAGGAGGGTTGTGATAGGCGTAGCGAGCCAACGTTAAATCTAGCCATTCTTATGGAGATGAAACCCGAAAGAAAACCGTTGGGGTGTAACCCTCTTAGCGACGCGCCATATTGGAACCCGGGTATGGTGTTAAATGAGCAAGGGCTGGGTCGTCACCCCCGTGACGCGCCGTGTCGCGATCTGGGCACGGTGTCAAGTGAGCAAGGATCGAGTCGTCGCATCCTTAGTGGCGCACTACATCAGCGCCCGGGTGTAGTGAAAAATGAGCAAGAGTCTTCGCATCTGAGTCGACGGGTGCGAAGGGTAAGGAAGCTAGTCGAACCAACTAGGATCCGTTTAGGTAGTTGGAATGTAGGGTCGCTTACAGGTAAGTTAAGAGAATTAGTTGATACCGCGACTAGGAGGCGTGTAAATATATTATGCGTTCAAGAGACTAAATGGAAGGGTCAGAAGGTGAAGGAGGTGGACAATACAGGTTTCAAGCTTTGATACACAGGGACAGTCACGAATAGAAATGGAGTAGAAGTTTTGATTGATAAGAGCCTCAAGAATAGTGTGGTGGGAGTGAGAAGGCAAGGAGATAGGATTATCTTAGTCAAGCTTGTCATTGGTGATATGGTCTTGAACGTAATTAGTGCGTATGCCCCCCAAGTAGGCCTCGACAAGAGTGCTAAGAGACAGTTCTGGGAAGACTTAGATGGCCTCATTAGAGCTGTACCTAGTAGAAACAAGCTTTTTATAGGAGGAGATCTTAATGAGCATGTAGGTACTACAAGCGCAGGTTTTGAGGCAGTTCATGGAGGTTTTGGGTATGATAGTAGGAATCAGGAGGGGAAGGAAGTTCTGGACTTCGCGGTAGCTTTTGACTTGATGATAGCCAACGCTTTCTTTAGAAAGAGAGAATCTCATCTAATGACCTTCAGTAGCGGACAACACTCTAGCCAGATTGACTTTGTTCTCGTAAGAAGAAAAGACAAACGAGCATGCTTGGGTTGCAAGGTGATACCAGGGGAGTGTGTTGTTTCTCAACATAAGCTTTTGGTGGCAGACTTTCGTTTTCAGGTGCGTGCCTGTAGGGATAAACAAGTTAAGATTGAAAGAACAAAGTGGTGAAAACTGAAAGGGGAGACGTCAGAGGTATTCAGGGAAAGGGTTATCAAAGAGGACTCTTGGAAGGAAGAAGAGGACATAAACAACATGTGGGAGAAGATGGCAACCAACATTCGGAAGGTGGCCTCAGAAGTGTGTGGAGTAACCAAAGGAAGTGGAGGCCAGGCTAAAGATACTTGATGGTGAAACGAGAAAGTCCAAAGGGCTATTAAGGAGAAGAAAGAATGCTATAGACGCTTGTACCATGACAGGAGTGTGGACAATATAAAGAAGTACAAAGTGGCAAAGAAGACTGCAAAGCGAGCTGTAAGTGTGGCAAAGGGTAGAGTGTACGAAGATCTTTACCAACATTTGAGTACGAAGGAAGGAGAGAAAGACATTTATAGGATGGCTAGGGTTCGTGAGCGAAAGACAAGGAACTTCAACCAAGTTAAGTGCATTAAGGATGAAAGGAAGCATCTCTTGGTGAAGGAGGATAAGATCCGACATCAATGGCAAGAGTATTTTGACAAATTGTTCAATGGTGAGAATACGGACATAACCTTTTAGTTGGATGACTCTTTTGATGACATCAATAGGCGCTTTGTGATGAGAATCCAAGAATCTGAGATCAGAGAGGTGTTGAAAAGGATGAAAGGAGGTAAGACGATGGGACCGGATGGTATCCCAATCAAGGTGTGGAGATGCCTTGGGGACATAGCTATAGTATGGCTAACCAAGCTGTTTAACCATATTTTTCGATTGAACAAGATGCCTGACGAGTGGAGGAGAAGTATATTGATACCGATCTACAAGAATAAAGGGGATATTCAAAGTTGTACTAATTACCGAGGAATTAAGTTGATGACCATATTATGAAGCTATGGGAGAGTTATCGAGCATCGCTTGAGAGCAATAACGTGGGTCTCTATGAACCAATTTAGTTTTATGCCCGGAAAGTCAACCATGAAAGCCATTTTCTTAATAAGACAAGTTATGGAGCGGTATAGGGAGAAGGACCTACACATGATTTTTATTGACTTGGAGAAGGCTTATGATAAAATATCAAGGAATGTTATGTGGTGGGTTTTGGACAAACATAAAGTCCCAACGAAATATGTCAGGCTCATTAAGAACATGTACAACAATGTTGTGACTAGTGTTCGAACAAGTGATGGAGACACGGATGACTTCCCGATTAGGATAGGACTACATCAAGGATCAGCTTTGAGCCCTTATTTGTTTGCCTTAGTGATAGATGAGGTCACAAGGGGACATATCTTGGTATATGCTTTTCGCGGACGATGTAGTGCTAGTTGATGAAAGTCGGACAGGAGTGAATCAGAAACTGGGGTTATGGCGGGAGACTTTGGAGTCCAAAGGTTTTAGACTCAGTAGAACTAAAACTGAGTATATGATATGTGACTTCGGCACTACTACTCGGGAGGAGGAAGAAATTAGTTTGGAAGATCAAGTGGTGCCTAGGAAGGATACCTTTCGATATTTAGGATCAACGCTACAGAGAGACGGAGATATTGATGAAGATGTTAGCCATAGAATCAAAGCAGGGTGGATGAAGTAGCACCAAACATCTGGTGTCCTATGTGACAAAAGGGTACCACAGAAGCTAAAAGGCAAGTTTTATAAGACGGCGATTAGACCTGCTATGCTGTATGGTGCAGAATGTTGGACTACGAAAAGACGACATGTTCAACAGATAAGTGTCGCAGAAATGTGTATGTTGTGTTGGATTTGCGGTCATACAAGAAGGGATCGAGTTTGGAATGATGATATATGTGATAGATTAGGGGTAGCACCAATTGAAGAAAAGCTTATCCAATACCGGTTGAGATGGTTTGGACATGTCCAACGAAGACCTCCAGAGGCACTGGTGCGTAGTGGAATTCTAAGCCAGAATAGTAACGTGAAGAGAGGCAGAGGAAGACCGAAGTTGACTTGGGTAGAGGCAATAAAAGGAGACTTGAAATGATGGAATATACCCAAAGACTTAGCCTTAGATAGGAGTGCTTGGAAGATAGCTATTCACGTGCCTGAACCTTGATTGCTTCTGCTGGGTTTCAACTCTAGCCTATCTCAACTTGTTTGGTACTTAAAGGCTTTGTTGTTGTTGTTGTTGTTGTTGTAATTACTCAGATGTGTTTTGAAAACAAAAGGGACACCAAAAAGGATAAATGCCAATATCTTCTTCCATAAGGAATCTTACAAAAGAAAATCTGAGACCTACTTCAATCAAGTCAAAAGGATTGTAATCCCCTTGGATGGTATTTCAGATGTATTTATAAAACACAAAAAAAACGAGGGCTGAATATTTGCTTGATTCTGACCAACTAATTGCATAATTCAAGTAGGAGCTTTAAAGCAAATATAAAACAAACGGAGGAGGAAACAATATAGCACACAGTGTACCTTCTTGCCGCTTGTGATCAGTTTTCTTATATCATGGTTTGTATGTGCAAAAGATACAAGCTTCAGCCAAACAATGCAGGCAATAAACATCAACACAAAGCCTGATAAAACTGCAGAATCACACCTGAACCCAGTTACAGAATTTGGTGTTAACACAATGCAAAATGGCACGGTATTTGTACAAAAGCACTATTTTCCAGAAGTTACAAATGCGATTTGACATTTGAAGTAAACTTATGGTAGATTCATATGAACTAGACAGCATACTGCATTTTATTCTGCTTCTACGTCCTTTCTTGATAAACAAGATGTCAATATCTTGATGCAAAGCGAAGTGCATAATCAACCATATATTTCAAAGGTTATTACATATACTTACTTAAGAATCACGAGCACTGGATATACAATTTCAGATGTTGTAAGAAGGATGTGAAAACAGGTAGCAGACTGAAAAAGAAAAGAACCATAAATCGATGGTTTATAAGCAAAATTTGGAGAAACAATACAAACAAAAGGTGTCTCACAACTGTTTCTATAAATGAAACTAATAGTCTGTCGTCCATATACAATATGGACAAATGTATAAACTGTTAATGAGAACCTGGACACCAAAAAAGTAAGCTTTATAGCAACGAGGTGTGTGCTTACAGCATCAGTAATGAGATTGTTGAATGCCAACTTTTCGACTGCAAATGCACCAAGGGGAAGCACAGGTAGACTAAGGCTGAAAATATAAATTAGCTGATAAGTTTCGGAGATAAGAATCCATTGAAGTGGACGATAGAGCAGTATTGACTATTACCAACACATTAGCAGTGGCCAGTCTCGCAATGATGTAGCATTAAACCAAAAGCCAGACCTTATTAATAAGCCATACTGCAAAAGGCATCAGAAAAGACAGCTCAAATATGTTGAGTGAGATGCGAAAAACCAATGGCATCAATTTGCTCAATCGAAAAAGTATGACAAGAACCTTCATCAGGTTCTCAATAATGAGCCTGCTATTCACTGCAACCAGAACAACAATACATAGGTTGAAAAGGCCTGCATGACTCTGTCAAAAACCAAAAGAGAAGTATTAGCTAACAGGCGCTCAATCAGCTAATTTATATCCGAAACGCAAAAGGACAAAACACAAAAAGATGAAGCGAAAATTAGAGGAAAAAAGAAAAACATAGCCACATAGGGCCCCTTTAGGCAGGAATTCCGTAGGAACCATACAGGAAGAATCAGTTCATTTTCACAAAAAAAAAACACAGGAAACACGAAAAATTCCGTCGTTCCAAAGGGACCTCACTATGACCTTAACCTTACCATGTGAGCTGAAGCATACATATTATTATGTGTTGGATCCATTTGTAAAATGGCAGGTCACATATGATGTCAATAAAGGAGGTCACGTGATTTGAACTCACAGCTCCCAAAAAAGGTTCCTTTTATCCACACTAGTCCAGTAATCCACATATCACGCCACTAATTAACTATGTCATCAAAAGGTTGGCGTACTAATAAAACAGAATGAACTGTGGGCAGCACGCTGTATGCTAGGTTCGAGCTTCTCACACGCATATGCAGCACGAAATGTTAATTTCCCCTCCCAGATTCTGTGAAAAAAACGCGACGCCTTTATCCCACATGCGTAAATGCACCTGGAAAACTCCCCCGCTATGATTAATTAGTTACACATCAGTTGAGAATCGTAACTGGTGAAATCAAACATGGTGAAGAAAGTTAAATTGGACGCAGGGAATGTGACAATTCGACGAACAGCTCACGCGGGCGCGCGGCAATCAAATGGGCCTCTTCTCTCACCTGCTTGAAGATAGCGTCGGAGCTCAGGGGGCTCTCCTTGGCTTTCCGGTGGACAGGAGCCGCGGCGCGGAACGTGAAAGCGGGGAAGTCCCCCGCCCCGCCCTGGCCGCCGCCGGCGGACGAGGCGTCCCCGCCGTTGTCGCGGCGGCGGGACGAAGAGGGCTCCCCGGGGCCGGACTCGTCCCCGGAGTCTGCCGCGAAGCTGGCGCGCGCCGCGGCCGCGGCGCCGGAGCTCAGCCGGCGGCGCAACGCGGCCGCGAAGCCCTGGGCAGCGGCAGCACCGCGGGCGGGGCGCGGCGGGCGGCGGTGCACGGCCGGGGCCGGCGGCGCGTCGTCGGAGTCCGCCATTGGAGCTGCTAGGGCTACGACGATTGGTTGCTCTGTCTCCTTGCCTCTTCTCCGTGCGAGCGTTGCCATGTTGGCCTCTCTCGATTCGGTGTGGACAAGGAGGCGACGGCGAGGCGATGGTGGCGGGTTGCTGACTATTGTGACGTATCAGAGCAAAAAAACTGTTTGTTTTTATATTATTTATTATTTATTTAATTATTACGCGTCGAACCATGAGGAGGGTGGCCAGGGCCCACGTGTCCATGAGACTGGCCGGATCACCGCAAGGTTCATCAGAAGTTAGGACGTGGGAATGGGATCGATTGCGTCTTAAGAAAACCGGTTGCCAAAAAAAGAAAATACAAATATATATATAAAGAGACAAGACATATATTAATAATCAAGCATTAAAAAGTCAGTGCCTGTTTGGTATGGACTCATGGACAACTTCACAAGCTGTTTTTTAGCTTCATCCACCAATCGGGACGTTGTCTCTCCGTTTCACGAGTAGAAGCCCCAGATTTTAAGTTGAGATAAGGAGAGAGATGTAAATAACTAGCTTCGACCCGCTTCATCTTGCACTGGTGGCCTCTGCGCACTCATGGTCTGCTTTGCCCTACGAAGAAGCCCTTGTGCGGGCACGGCCAGGACGGCGGCGTGAACGGCACGGGGACGAACGGCTACGTAGCCGTGCATGGAAGGGCGCAAGTGGTTTGCTCGCACAGAGACGAGCGGAGGTGGCGTGGCTCCGCCAAGTTGCCGGGCGCGGCGCGTTCACGCAGATAGGCACGGCTCGTCTGGGACGTTGCTAGGCGGCACATCTGCGAGCTGGCCGGGCCACACGACGCCATCAGGGTGGACGAACTAACAGGTGGTGCCTAGGGAAAGGAAGAGATGAGAGTAGGAGAAGCAAGGCACAGTCGACGCAGGTCAGAGAAGAGATAATATGGAGAGAGAGAAGAAGGAGAGAAGAGAAATACAGAGAGAGAAAATAGAGACAAAAAAAGGAAAAACAAAAAAGTATTATGGTATTTCATTCTTTTCAACCATCCAGAGAAGTTGTTTTACCAAAAGATCACCAAAACAAATTTAGCTTCGCCGATAAAGTTGCTTCTAGAGCCAAAGCCAAAAACCGCACTTCAACGATGAAGATGAGTCGTATCAAACAGACCCTTACTCACCACGTTCACTTTTAGAACATCTCCAACAATACCCTAAACCAACCTCTATATTATTTTTAGGCCTAAAATTCAAAGATATGGTCACTAGCGGGATCTCTACTTCGGTCATTAAAACTATAGATGTCCATCGGGCCGGCCCGGTCCGGCATGGGCCAGGCACGGCCCGTGGATGGTTGGACCGGCACGGCACGCCGTGCCTCCTGGGCCGTGCCTCTACGGGCCTCGTACATGGCCTTCGGCCCAAGCATGGCACTACAGGGCAAAATCCGTGCTGTGCCGGCCCGCTAAGCACAGCCAAATCATCGTGCCGTGCCAGCCAACAGCCGAGTGACCTTAAGACACCTCAAAATGTTCCTCTAATAAAACTCTTCTCAATTTTCTCCGTTGCACAGTTTCACAGTTTCATTCACAAGCCAAACTCATTCACAATCACAAATATAACATTCTAAACTGAACACGGATTCTAAGTTCTAGCTTCTAACCAAAGTCCAAAGGCACCAAAGGAGAGAAGACAATTAAAAATTTAAGATAATTAAACTCACCCTTGTGAGAAACCCTAGAAAGAAAAAAAAGTGCAGCACAGCTCTTAATTAAGTCTTCCATTATTGTTCAAAGGTCTCACATATCACAGGATACAGATAACTGAGATAACTGATAACAAATCACTCTCTCCTCTCTCTAACTCTCAAGACTCACACTAACTACCAGTAGCAGCCCCCAGTTGAACCAGCCCCAGATGTACCAGCAGTAACGGCAGCTCCAGATGTATCTTCATTAAGATACAGATTCTTGAAGGAGTCTTCCAACGCTTGGTTGTCAACAGCATGTTGTAACCTTTTTTCTCCTAACTTCCAATCCTTTATGTAGGCCAGCATCTCAATAGTTCTAGGCAACAAGCGTCGTCACCACTCTTTAATTATCCTTCCTGTTAAGCTGAAACATGATTATGAAGAGACAGTAGAAACAGAAACAGAAATAATATCTCTAGCCATTATAGAAAGTACTGGAAAGTTTAGTTTGTGGTCACGCCACCAGAGAAGTAAATCAAAGTCATCCTCATATGCAGTGACATTATCACTATCCAGATAAGCTGAGAGCTCACAAGCAGCAGCAGAAGCAGATAGAGATGGAGTGGGGACAGAGGCAGGGAAAGGACCAACAACACCAGATGATCCAGGGCCTCCAAAGATTATTTCCTAGGTCTATTTTTTCTTACCTGTATGGCTTGCAGACGGTGCAACCATTTGAGACCTAGTTGTACCAAACTTTCTCTCAATTTGTTAAACAACTTATAAATTTTAGTTTTCACATCAGTATAATATGAACTATAGTCACAACCAGTGTTCTCTTTAAGTATTTGCAGAACATTAAACAAACCTCTCAACTTAGCTCTAGTATGAAGTATGAATGCAAATGAATATAACAGAGGTATATCTTGCTAGTATTTAAGTAATTTAAGCTTCATAGGACATACAACAGCTATTAGATTTTGATCTTTTTCACTTGCATGCAAATGAGAAGCAATGTCTAGCAGATGGTGCAGAATAAGTGGACTAGTTGGATAGTAAACACCAGAAATAACAACTGTTGATTCATAAAATATTTCTAGAAACTCCAAAATCCTTTTAGCTATATACTAATGCCTTGCAGTTAATAATGTTGAACCATAATTGGCATTAATGAACACAGAAAAAACATCCTTATATAGAAGCAAGTGTTTAAGCATAAGGTATGTAGCATTCCATCTAACATCCATATCTAAGCCAAACTTTCTATGTCTAACACCCTGAGTAGTACAGTAGTTCTTGAATATAGCAATCCTTTGATTAGATGAATTTAAGAAGTTAATAGTAGTTCTAAAATCCTTTGTGTAAGGTTTGAACTTCTTTAAACCAGATTTTACAATCAGATTAATGATATGACACACACAACGTTGATGCACAAGACTATACTTACGCTTATTAGGATTTGAAGGCTCAGGTGCAGGATCAGAACCCAAATAACTAGCAAACATAGGTGTCAAAGTTTTTATAGAGTTACAGAGAAAACCTTGTCAATCAAACCAAACTCCCCAACCATACAAGCAACTTTTTTCAGCAATATTTTCACCAGTATGTTTCACCTTTTTCTATAACTCCCAATCAGCACTCACAGAGCAACAACACTAATGTAGTCCTCCTTAGCATTACCAGACCAAATGTCTGATGTCAGAGCAACAGAGGAAGTAGCAGACAACATAGAATTCTTAAGCATATTACGATGTTCAGTAAACAGCTTGCTAAGATCTCTAGTGATGGTCTGCCTAGATAGCTTAACAAACCTAGGGTTATGAGCATGAATAGTGTACTCTTCCCAGGCCTCTGTCTCACCGATACCTAATAGCAAATCAAGCCTAGCAATCAAGCGATACAACTTAGATCCAGCAAGCATCAGGTTTATAGTCCCAGTTATGCACAGAACCATCAGGATTGTAAACAAGCCTAGACTAAACCCTAGCACGTTGATCAGTTTTCTACCTACAAGATTTCTAGAGCCTCTTCAAGTGGCTAGTGCCAGCATTCGATCTAGCTGACAATGCTTGCTTACACATTTTACATGTAGCTTTAGTGCAAATCTGCCTACCATTCATATTCTCATAAATCTCATTAAAATCAGCCCACACATGTGATTTACGCTTACCAACATTAGAGTTACCAGCAACAGATGGAGCTGAGCTATTAGAGTTGGAGCCGAGTAGGTTCCCAGTCGTCGTCGCCCCTTCACCACCGCCGTCGTCCAGATCGACAGGAGAAGCAGAGCCGCTACTGACATCGATACCGAACAACACAGCAGCGTCCTCACGGGTGTCGTCGTCATCCTCTGGGGCTAGGCCTGCCACGATCAGGTCATCGTTGCCGGTGAGCGGCCAGACGATATCGTCATCAGCAACCATGGTGCCCTCGACCGTGGAGGGCTCTCTAGCACCGTTCCTCTATGGTGCGCGGGGCCACCTTGGTCGCTCTATGCCGCAGCTAGACGATGACGCATTGGCTACCGTCCTTGTGGGGGTATTAACCCCTATACCCTTACGGCTAGGCTTGGGCCGGCCCGGACCAGGGGGTCTGGCCCACTAGAAGACTACGTGCGGCCCGGCCAATCTGTTCGGAGTCCCGCGCAAGGAATCAAGGCAGATTTGGAGATCAAGCAAGATCCTGGTCGGTTAGAATAGGAATCCTTATCCGGCCACCTATGGCAATTGTAACTGGTTAGGATTAGTTTTCAGATCTGTAACCCTGCCCCCCAGACTATATAAGGCGGGCAGGGGACCCCTCAAAACAACTCTCATCGACATACAACAATACAATCAGACGCAGAACGTAGGTATTACGCCTTCATGGTGGCCGAACCTAGATAAAACCTCATGTCTGTCTTGCGTCACCATCTTGTTTGTAGCTTGCGCATCTGTCTACCGATAATCTACTACCTTGGGCATACCCCTAGGTAGACTGTCGACCATATTTTGTCGACAGTGGCGCGCCAGGTAGGGGGTGTGCGTACTGCTCTCCAGACGAACAAGATGGTCATCATCCCCGGTTCCATGGCTATGCCGAACGACCTCACGTTCACCATCGGCCAGATCACCTGGACCACTGGCTCCGACGACTTCATCGCCATGACCACGGAGGAGGTGCGGATTCAATCTGCATCGACCACTGCTTCATCTGCATCGGCTACGGCTCCGACCACAGTGGATCTGGCTTCGGCCACGCCAGCATCGTCTTCAGCCACGCCGACAACCCGTCGTCCGCTTCCTCGCTACAAAGGGAGGCAGATCGACAATACCGACCTGCTCGACTCCATTGATCGGGTCGGCACCAAACTCGCCAAAACCCTAGCTCTGGTAAGTTTGATTCAACGTCAACCTAATGA